CGGGTTTCGGGCGCCGCCTGTGGGGCTGCTGCCGGAGGGATGCTGCAGGAGACCCTTGGCCGGGACGGCTCTTTGGGGACCGCAGGCTCTGGAAATGCCCTCCCCCGGGTCACAGCGTTGGGGACAGGTGCTGCCACCCGCTCCCTCTGGTCACCGTCTGCATGCGGGGGTCCTGCTGTGCTGCGGGGGGGTGGAGGAGGCGGATGCAGGTGACATGGCCAGCACTGAAACACTGCGGTGATGCCACCAAGGTGCTGCAGGAGGGGCTGGGGACAAGGGGTGAGCCATGCAAGGGCTCCGGTGACAATTCTGCACGTGCCAGGCAGCAAAGGCCGTGGTGCAGGTGCAGCTCCTGGAGAAGCAGCTCCTGCCCAGCCCGGCGGGGGCCTGATGCAGTCACCGACACGGGGAGACGTGGCTTTGCAGCAGCAAACTGGGGCAGGATGAGGCTGTCTCAGAGCCGGGACGGCTGTAAGGGACAGCCTGTGGTGGGACAGGGCTGCTCGGGCACAGAGCCCAGCTCAGCTCACCCGGGCACCAGACCTGGAAAGCTGCAGGAAGCCTTGGAGGGTCGAGAGGGACGTGTGGGGCGGTGGGTTTGCATGGGCAGGGTCCACACAGGGACACCTGGCATCGCCTGTCCCCATCCGACCCTTTCCCTCTGCCCCCAGATCATTGTCTTCGAGAAGGAGAACTTCCAGGGCAGGCAGATGGAGTTCACCGCCGAGTGCCTGAACCTGGGGGACCACGGCTTCGACCGGGTGCGCAGTGTCATTGTCACCTCCGGACCGTAAGTGACCCCAGCCGTGGAGGGGACTGCGTCCCCGGGGACGCTCCGGGGAGGGGGGGACACGGTCCCGGGGATGTGCAGGGGCATTTCCCTGCAGCCTGGGCAGAGAGCAGGGCTGGGGACCCAGAGTCTCTTGCGAGGGGGACAGGATCCAGGGGCGTTTGGAAAGCAAAGGGCACCAGAGGCAAAGCTGAAGGCCAAGGAGAGGCGTCCATCGGCTCTGTACCTGGAGCTGTCCATGAAGTGCAAGAGACCCGTAGATTGTAGCCAAGGGGAAACGAGGCAGGTGCCTGGGATAACGGGGCTGGGAAAGGTCCGAAAGCCCTGGGAACAGCCAGCGCAGGCAGGAACAGGAACGATCGCCAGGCTAGATGATAACTGCACAGCTGGGTGATCTCTGATGAAAGAACATCTCGCCACGGCCGTGCCCAGTGGAAACAGTGTGCCCGGGAAGGCAGCGGGACAGCCGGGGGGTGGCAGCTGCAGAGAGGATGCAGGGGACATGGCAGCCTTGACAGCAGCCTTCAGGGACTGCGCAAGGTGACCCATCGTCACCTGAAATGACACCTCGTAGCAGGGATGACAACTTTTTTATTAGGAACCCACAATATCCAACTTTTCTTGAAATGAAAGGGGGATGGCGCAGCCTCAGAGGAGCTCAGGCGTGGAGCCCGGGAGGCGGCACTAGATACAGAAAGGGTGAAACTTGGGGAGCAGGGTATTTGTGTCAGTGGGGTCTAAATCCTGTCTTCTTGAGTCACTGCTGAGACTTTGCCCAAAAATGTACTTA